TTAGACCGTATCATAGTACTGAGACTGCTCTCATCAGAGTTACAAATGGCCTGCTCTTATCATCTGATCGTGGTTGTATCTCCCTATTAATGCTATTGGATCTTAGTGCTGCATTCGACACTATTAACCACAACATTCTTTTGAATAGACTAGAAAACTTTGTTGGCATTAGTGGAAGTGCATTAGCATGGTTCAAATCGTACTTATCTGACCGCCATCAATTCGTAGCAGTGAAAATAACCTACCTAACGTTGTTCGGGAGGCAGACACACTCTGTCAGTTTAAATCTAGATTAAAGACCCATCTTTTTAACCTGGCTTACACATAACACACTAACACATTTCTAATATTCAAATCCATTAAAGTATTTTTAGGCTGCATTAATTAGGTCAACCAGAACCTGGTTGGTTGGTTGGAACCTGGTTGGAACACTTCCCATAACACCAGATGTACTTGCTACATCTACATTAGTCTGTTTCTCTCTTATTCCGAGGTCACTGTAGCCACCAGATCCAGTCTGTATTCAGATCAGATGGTCACTGCAGTCACCCGGATCCAGTACGTATTCAGACCAGATGGTGGATCAGCACCTAGAAAGGACTTCTACAGCCCTGAATGTCAGCAGAGACCAGGACAACTAGATGAGCCCCAGAGACAGATCCCCACTCCTAGACGGCCACCGGGACAATACCACAGGAACCAGTTGAGTCCTCTGCACAATGTGACTTTGCTGCAGCCTGGAATTGAACTGCTGATTTCGTCTGGCCAGAGGAGAACTGGCCCCCCGACTGAGCCTGGTTTCTCCCAAGGTTTTTTCTCCATTCTGTCACCGATGGAGTTTTGGTTCCTTCCCGCTGTCGCCTCTGGCTTGCTTAGTTGGGGACACTTCATTTCCAGCGATATTGTCGACTTGATTGCACAGATACTATTTAAACTGAACCGAGCTGGATGATGACATCACTGAATTCAATGATGAACTGCCTTTAACTGAAAAAAATTTGTGTTTACTATTGTCATTTTGCATTATTGACACACTATTTTCCTAATTAATGCAGTACAGTTGCTTTGACACAATCTGTATGGTTAAAAGCGCTATATAAATAAAGGTGACTTGACTGATTTGGCGCTAAGGATTGATTTGGGGAGTTAAGATAAAAAAAATAAATAAAAATGAAAAAATGAAACTTTTCTGAAGACAGTCGGTTTCCCTCAGAGATACATTCATATAAACACCTTAACTCTATTAAGCATTTAGGGTTTTCCTCCAATATTTTGCACATCGTGAACAGTGATCTTGCTCTGCCTGCTACAGTATACCACACAGTCCTCCAAGTTAGCAACACGTTCAAACCCTCAAAATATTTTTGAAATGATATTGCAATTTTTTGCTAAAGTAATCCCTTGTAAATCTCTCAATAAACATTACTATTGTTGTTATCCACTTTAGTTTGCCAGTTAGAAGTAAGCTAATTTCTGTGAATGTGCGGGACTTCTGATTCACTAGTCACAATATAAATTACTAGAAGAATAATAAAACTGCAGTAAAGCGGTAAAACCATTTGCACTACAAACCAGAGTGTTCATGATTATCATAGTAATTTAAAATAATATGATAAGTATCAGTTTGCAATATTAAGCATAGCATAACGGAATGTTTTTGTACAACTAAAATAACAGGAAGCGAATGACACTGGATACTTTGCACATTCAAGTTACAAATCTGCAGGTAAGTAGATATCCAGGAACAGAATTGAGTACCCCTGCCGTATGCTTTGTTGCTTAGCAATGCATTTTTTCAGAACCGATCCGATCCCGAAAATTAGAATTTCTATAGCCTACTTCTGTGTGTTGACCTGATCATCACTCTTTTGTGTGTTAAACACAATCTGCTAAATATAGACAACTTCATTTTAATGAAAAAATAACACATGAAAAAAATATATAATCATAATCTATGACAAAAATACTATTATAAACTAGGTTAGTGGATAATTCAGCAGCAAATGTTACTCTAGAAAAATCATGGACACAATAATTTTATAAAATCTAAACATTTAGTGAAACATTATTTAGTGGGGAATAGGGATATGCCGGTATCAAATTTTCATGTTGCGATTAATTGCTAATGCTTTTGTCACGGTATACGGTATTATCACGATATTGAAATTTAGTTTGAAAAAAAAAAGTGCTGTCATAATACAGTATAACAGGTTTAATAACTTTTTTCTTATAACAAAAATAACTGAACATTTAAATGCAATAAAGCAATACAGAAAAATGTATAAAGTTAAAAGTTTTACACAGATTAAAGTGCAAAAGAACTATAAAGACCAATAGGTATCACTTTACAATAAGACCTCAGTAGTTAACCTTAGTTAATGCATTAACATTCACAATGAAAAAAAAAGTCACAAAAAAAGTCTTAGTTCATGTTAGCTCATTAATAACACAGTTGCAATTTTCGATTTTAACGTGTTATTAAATATTGTAATTACCTAAGATTAATGAATGTTCAGAAGAATTTTTCATTGGCAGTTTATGTTAACGAATGAATTAACTAATGTTAACTAATGAAGCCCTAATGTAAAGTGTGACCGAACAATAAAGAATCAAAACACTTTCAAACAATATCTAGGGCATGTTGTAGTCCAGATTAAAATGTAAAAAAAGTTTGAAAATAAATAGCCTATTAAGTCTACATTTTTAAGTATTTAGCGCTGTGATGAACATCATAGCAAATACACAAATCTGAATGGCTGTTTAAATCATTTAAACACGATTCAGAAACAGAAAGTAGTGTAAAAGTTAATAGGACTAAATCTGGTAAAATGTTACACATTTCTCTGTATTGTTGTAAAATATATTAATGAAGAACAAGTAAATATATTTATATAGAAAAATATATACTATAAAATGAAAAGACATTTCTTTTAAAATTATAACACAGTAATAAAGGCAGCAACATATGATAGATAGGACAGAACAAGAAAGACTATTAATATTCTTTCATTACACAAAAGTATTATAATACAAAAGGCTCCAACACAGAGTGGCACAAAGCACTTATGCACATCCCGTGTGCAGAATGATGCACTTGAAGCAACATGGAGTCACAGTGCGCAGCAGTCCCAATAGAGAAGCTCAAAGCACAAAGGGAAGAGAAATTTGATTTCATAGTGTATTATATCTGTGCAACAGTTTATTGAGGCTTTTTTTAAACAGTTTTACCATATTACCTGCTTATTGTGCACTCTTGAAGAGAGTTTCATCGTTTTGACTGTAGTAACCGAACGAGACACACAGTTTGAATGCTGAATGGAGGATGACAGACAGCCACAGAGGACATTATTTTGTGTATTTGGTGTAATGAAATGTGTTTATGCGGTTTAAGGTTAAAAAAACACATTATTTTCCACATACTGTACATTATGGCATTACACACGGCGGGCTTGAGTGAGCGGCGGCGGGCGGGCTAGAGTGAGCGGCGGCCGGGCTAGAGTGAGCGGAAGCCGGTGGCTAGAGTGAGCGGAGGCGGGCGGGCTTGCGGCAACCACATGTGACGACCCCGGGCTGGAATCCGCTTCATCCACGGTGAAAGCCGATCTGGCGATCCACAGCGCGAAGTTGATGTATTTCCTCAGCGACCAGCACGGATCAGCTCTAGGCATGACGAAGCGGATATCATCCTCTTTTGGAAAGCCAAACAAAGTAGTTTCGCTTTCACAATGAAACACAGCGCCTTCACGACATGGCGGCAGCAACAATACTACAGCGAGAATAAAAGTTACGCCTTCTTTCTTTGCCTGAGCATTTGGGCAGTGTTATGCAAATCTTCCCACATCGTGACGTAGACATGTGGGGGCATGTTAGAACGAGCCGTTTTAGGTAGGCGTGGTTAACTCTTAACTTTTATAAAGAATATCTCTTTGGATTTGAGACTTTAGTCTTTGCAACTTTACAGATCTTCTTTATGCACCAAGAGCTTGTAACGCTTCAAAGAGAAAGGAAAAATTGAAATCGCATCATATGACCCTTTTAAATATTCATCTGCACCTCACATTGAACTATGGAACAGCTTCAGAACAATTGAAATATAGTGCACAAAAACTTTATGGTGCTTTATAATGTTTTTTTGCCTTTCGTGGGGCTTAGCAATAACACAGAATACGCATGATATCAGATTTGGATTGGTCTCTTCTGACCGAAACCCGATCCAGCAGAAAATGCCAGTATACAAAAATCTAATTTAAATCAACTTAAGTTTTTCAGCTGCAGTAGGTTTATTTATAATGTAGTATTGTAAGAAATACTATGGAAATTTAATAATCAAGTGTATAACTATGTGCATGTGCTTCAGGTGTATGTCAGCACATGAGCACCGCATTGAGTTCTTTTTCACTGCTTATTGCGTTGTCTGAGAGAGGCGCTTTCTGTATGCGTGAGCCCTGCATTGAGTTCTTCACTGCATATTCCGCTTAATATTAAGCATATCCCACTCTTTATTTTCTAATTCATGCATGTTTCTTTCTCTCTTAGGTGTACAGTATATAATTTTCAGGTAGTACTGTACTGCGCGGATATATTTGCATTCCACAAAACAAACGACACCGCAAAATCTCTAATGAAATACACTTTGTACCATGGTAACAATATATAGCAACATACCACCTAGTCCTACTTTATTCTTATGAAAATACCCCAAAATTGTATGCCCTTAATGTTGTGGCAGTTTTTCCTCCATGGTATCGAAAATGGTATAAAAAATTTATCTTTTTAAAGGGGTCATATGATGCGATTTCAAGTTTTCCTTTCTCCGTATCAAAGTTCCACTAGCGTGACAACACTAATATAGTTTTTTTCCACCATATTTCTTTGTAAAATATTTTGGTGGGTCTTGAAAAAAGCTTGGGAACCCCTGACCTATTGTACTGGTTATAGCACTGTTACACTGGCTAATAAAACAGTTGTAGCAGATATAAATAGTCCATGAATATACTCACACCCTCAGAGATGAAGGTATTGAACCTTGGCAGCATCTGGTACAGCCCTGGGTCTGTTGCTATGCTCTGCAGTGCTTCCTGTTGGCAGAATAACAACAAAATATACACAATATGTCAAAGTGAAAGAAAACAAAATGGATCACTAATATATCATGATGTTGTCAGACATGCAAAACTCAACTGAATGTCACAGGGACAAACATTTTAGGTAAATAATGCAAAACATAGTTTATGGCTAGTAAATTTTCTCAATTTAACTACCATTTTCAGGTGTAGAAACTTAATGGAGTCCTAATATGCTTTTTTACATTTTCAACTTTCTTTCATGCATAATTTGCTGTTTGTGCATGAAAACCCACCCCCCAGCAAAAAGTCAAGCACAAAGTCCACTCTAAGGGGAGTTATTTTCTAGTATCAGTAGGCACTGTTTTTGGACTCCCTCAATCACCTCAGTCTTTTCAGGAGCATACACATACAGGAGCATAAAAAATATGAAGGGGCAAGGCAGGTTGAGTTGCCGTAGTAGTGTGCTGTCACCATGTCCAAGAGACACTGTTTCACAAATCTAATATATTGTAACACATGCAGCTGTTTATGTTGGCAGACATAACCAACTGTGTTTATGTGAATTTTGTGTGTTTTTGACATAACACACTGGGCCTCATTCATGAAACGAATTTTTGTGTAAATCGTTCGTAAAGCTGTTCTGATGTAAATTTTCGGATTCATGAAAGTGTTCGTATTTTCTAAATGTTAGTTGGTACAAAAGAAATGTACACCTGCTCCTTACCACATGTAAATGATGCGTAAAACGTTCGGTGTTCTTTTTGGCAAACTGATGACACTGAATTTTGATGCACTGCCATTCTACATTTATTCTTATTTTACAAGTTCGTTTGCTCTGTTTTTTTTTGTTTTGTTTTTTTTGTAGCCGAGAGTTGATAAACTGTTTAGCTTTGGGTAAAACACAGTGCTTGTCACTGTCACTTTTTGCCCAGCCGTCCAATCAATGGAGGAGGGGCGGGACAAATATGGAAGCATATAGGTAGCGAAATTCAATTTAAAATGCAATATGAAAAATGGCAACGCAATATTCAAAATGGCAATGTATTTCTGTATTTTAATTTTAATTTTCCATTACCCATACGTGCAAAGTTTGGTGCAAAAGTAAAATGAAAATGAAATTATATAATTTACATTTGCCATTTCCAACAGTAGTCTTAATATGTAAATTGCATGCAAATTTGAACGCTTTATAAGTTGCGAAATTAAAATGAAAATGTATAACACAAATTGATTTGATATGTGTAACATGTCCAAGCAGAAATGGTAGCATAATGATCATTTAAATGCTATTTGTCCTAAATGCATTTAGACTAACAGTTAGAACACTTAGGATTGCATTTTCATCATGACGCTGTGGGATATTTGTAGCAAAATTCAATTTGAAAATGCATTCCGAGCTGACCACGCCCACCCTCCGTCAATCATTGCTTCAAGGCAGGGATTGGCGGAAGCGTGTTAAGTTTGGATCGTTTGAAACATGGCGGCTGGAGATCTGATAAGATCGTTGAATTCACTGGCAGATGAAGTGGAGCGTGAACAGAGAAATATATGAAGCGTATTCCATGCTCAAATCAAACGTTCGAACGACCGATCGAACGTCTATCCCAGTGTTTCCCAACTGGGGTGCCGTCTGTCGAGAGCAGGGGTGCCGTGTAAAAAAAAATCATTTTTTAATATTTTTAAATTGCTAAAATGTTTAAAAAAGCATCTATTATATAATATCCATTTCGGATGTCGCCAATAATTAGAGATGCACCGAAGTTCCGGCAGCCGAAAATTAGTTCACCGCTCAGGATTCACTTTCACGTGGTGTGACGCTCTGCATATTATCCTGCTCTATGCGTGTGCGCATGTGCTCAGTCGCTCCACTCGCATACCATTCATGCGAATTGGAACAGCAAAGCCCACTCAAAAATTGAGCCGACAGGAAACATTAAAAGTTTATCAGCATGTATTGATTAATAGCATGTTGTAGCACAAAAAAAATAATAATAATAGAAATAAAAAATAAAAAACCGTGCTTGTGCAACCAACTGAGAAAGTTAATCGCAAAAGAGCGACCAGTGGGAAGAATGAGTCTGGAGCCCTGAATTGCCCAGCTCCCTCTCTGTCAGTCAGCACCTGCATTCAAAATTCTCTGGCGCCGCCCCTGGTACATTGATGTATTTTTGAAAAGCAAAAATTAAGTTGGTCCAACTCTAAACCCAGTCCCCAAGTAAATTAGGTTATTAAATAAAAAAACTAGCAAAACGAGTTGAGCGGTGTCCCCACCACTTTTCAAAGCAAAGTTACGCCACTGAATCTGTTAGTCTAAATGCATTTAGGACAAATAGCATTTAAATGATCATTATGCTACCATTTCTGCTTGGACATGTTACACATATCAAATCAATTTGTGTTATACATTTTCATTTTAATTTCGCAACTTATAAAGCGTTCAAATTTGCATGCAATTTCCATATTAAGACTACTGTTGGAAATGGCAAATGTAAATTATAATTTCATTTTCATTTTCCTTTTGCACCAAACTTTGCACGTATGGGTAATAGAAAATGTCAATTTAAATACAGAAATACAATGCCATTTTGAATATTGCCTTGCCATTTTGCATATTGCATTTTAAATTGAATTTCGCTACCTATATGCTTCCATAGACAAAGTTAATATTGTAATTAATATTTACCGAAATTAATATTGCTGGTTACTGCATTTTTATATTCAGTAATATTCTTCAAAATGTGATACTAGTAATACATTACTGCCGTGGATATTCCTAATCATAGCAACCAAACTCAGCTGGAAAAACGCTGTGCCACCAAAGTGTCCTCATGCGCCACCAGCTGGCCGTTTTCAGAAGAGCACCTGACAGTTTTCAGCTGGCTAAAAATGCTTTGGTGGACACACATTATTGAATATTTATTGTTAGGCATATAGCCTATTAGTCTTTTTTGCATTTATGCAATATACTGGAGCCAAACCTGAAAAAGTAGACCAGAATATTCCACTGCGTTCCGGGACATGCAATTTGCATAGCTGTAATTCATAGACGGGGATTATGCTAATTGTGAATGAGCGTGCACAAGCGCCCTATTTACGAATGATTGGAATTCATTAACATACACGTTTAACTATCAAATCTGATGTTTACGAAGCATTTGTGAATCCGGAAGAGTTTTCGGGAAGGTCCACTTTACGCGCAAATTACTCAGAATTTACTCCTATATTTACAAATGGTCATGAATGAGGCCCACTGTGTGTTTTTTACAGTTGATGCAAAAGAGCCAGCTTACTGTGCAGGCAGAAAAATGTATATCAGACGTTTAAAATGACAATTCTTTAAATGTATGCAAAGAATAAACTTTTTTCGTGATGAAGAACTGCAATGACATCAAAAACAAACAAATTTGTTGTTGCCAGAGTTTTGTGTTGTTTATTTTGTTTGTTGATGCCAGAGTATCCAAGGCACAAAGTGTAAAAGGCTTTTCTGGAAAGGGGGTGGAGAGGAGCAGCTCATTGGCATTTGAAAAAAGACACACAAGAAAACAACATGTTCATGTTTCCATCCAAAAAGTGGTATTTACAGCATGGAATAATAGATGTTCTGTGGTGCATTTTGAGCTAAAACTTCTCAAACACATTTTGACACTTACCTGAGACTTCATTATATTACATCTTGTAAAAAGTACAAAACAGGACTCTTTAATTTTGGACCCTGGGCACACACACATACCGCTCTTTTAGCTTCACAGGATCCCACACAAGCTTCGGTGATTTCTTTATAGTACAGCTGCTGCTCTACAGAGAGCTCATGTGTGCTACGCGGCTTCATCCGCATCTTCTCTTTTCCTGAAACACCATGAGTGAGAAGAGTGACTAAGGTAGAAAAATCAGTAGAATAAAAATAACTAAAACACATTTTTGACTGAACTAATTTCTGACCTTTAACTTCAGCAGAGCTTGCACTCTGACCCTTAGCCTGGATAGAGCCTTCCTCTTCCTGTCCAGGTTTGACAGCTTTGAGTGACTCTGTGGAATCTGTCTTTTGCTGCTCTTTAGGAACTGAGGTGAAGATAAAGGGTAGGGAAAGACAATGACCAAATTATTATTTTCCATGTTTTTTTTTTATATAATATTCTCAGAATGGGATACTAGTGCACTACTGCATACATGCACAGTATATTGTATACTGCATGCTTTTTTAAAGCTCATAACACCAAGATGAATGCTCAGAGCAATAAACATCTGAATGAATGGCAGTTAATGCATCTTTTCAGACCAACTCAAATGTTCACATGATGTCAATGTGACAGACAGGTTTTGAATTTATTTTTAATTGCACTGCAAAAAGAAACAGGACAACAACAATCTGGGCAGTGCTGCCTCTAAGTGTGTGTATTTTTGTCATTATTACATAATTTTGAACATAGAACACAAAGGCAATTATGACAAATATCAGTCATGGGCATGGCCGTACCCGGGCTTTGAAAATTAGTGAGCTCCGGAACACTCCACTATTTTTGAAAACAGGCTCATTTTCCAACTCCCCTAGAGTTAAACAGTTGAATTTTACCGTTTTCGAATCCATTCAGCCGATCGTTAACTGTTAGCATCTCGCTAAAAAATGACCAAAGAGTTTCTATATTTTTCCTATTTAAAACTTGACCCTTCTGTAGTAACATCGTGTACTAAGACTGACGGAAAATGAAAAGTTGCGATTTTCTATACGCGTTTGGCCAATCAATGTCTACTTACGTCACTATTAGTACCAGTTGTGCTGGTTAGAGCCTGTTCCGGAGTAGGAGCTAATTTGGTTCTCGAAAAACGCAGTCCGGTACTAAAATCGCACCCAGTTCCGGCGGTGCGAAAACGCCAAAAAGTGGGTAATTCCACAATTAGTTCTGGTACTATGAAAAGGTTCCCGTGGTGCGAAAGGTCATTTTTGAGTGAGATGCTAATGGTCTCATCAGTTCCAGTTCCAAAAGTGCTACCGCCAGACCCGGAGATCGGCTGAATGGATTCGAAAAGAGTAAAACTCAACTGTTAAACTCTAGGGAAGTTGGAAAATGAGCTTATTTTCAAAAATAGTAGAATGTTCCTTTAAAGAATTGTGTTATAATAACCCCTACAAATACAACTCATTATATACACTATAAACACTTTAAAGGAGACACGTGTAGATGTTTGTGAAAGATGTTTTCTCTGTTTTGGAGGGATGATTATTTTTATTTTTTAAATCATACCCTATTTATTGCATCAAAATTTGTTAATACTTTACTATATTTACATTTACATTACATTTAGTCATTTAGCAGATGCTTTTATCCAAAGCGACTTCCAAATGAGGACAATGGAAGCAATCAAAATCAACAAAAGAGCAATGATATACAAGTGCTATAACAAGTCTCAGTTAGCTTAACGCAGTACACGTAGCAAGGGTTTTTTAAATAATATAATAAATAAAAAGAAAACAGATAAAATAGAAAAAGAATAGAGCAAGCTAGTGTTAGAGATCTTTTTTGCTTTTGTCAATTGTATAATAAATGAAAAGAAAACAGATAGAATACAAAAAGATTAGAAAGCAAGTGTTAGTTTATATTTAAGTTTATTAGTTTATGGATAATTTTATCAGTTGTTTATTGCAACAATACATAACTACAATAACTTTGTCCAGTGCTCTTATTAACGTTTATAGCATGATTTGTGAAAATGTAACTATACTGAATGCATAGCATAGACTTCTTCATGGCTAGGTTTTGCATATTTCATTTCATTCTGTAACCTACTTGTTCTACAGATCTGTGTGTACTAGTGTTAAATGCTACTGTTTTTGACAGCATTGATAACGTTTATGACAGATAATATCATGTGAATTTTGCGTTTCCTTTACCGAATGTCGTATCCTGTCAGCAAAAACCTGTCCATGGGCTTTTTTGATTGCTTTCAGTTTAAGTGCCGGCGATGCAGTGTTGCCAGATATTGATACTAAAATAAACAAAAAACTACAAATAAATAAAAAATAAACCGAAATTATTTCCAATCTTTTGCATATAAGATAAAGATATCGCTCACTCTAAACTGAAACTTCCTACTTTATTAACTTTTTAAAGTGTTAAATTAAGTGGAAAAGACAAGTCCAAAAACACTTATAATAGCTGGATCTGGCAACACTGCACCCGCGCCCTCACTCACAACTCTCTCAAGAAAACTCATTCACTCCACCAGGCTCCAGCATCTCGCAGCGATCATTTTCATACCAGGGACGCTAAACATTCTTGCAAACTGTCTAAACTGAATTATACATGTCATGCAGGCATTCATATGAGGAGTTTAACAGCAAATTAGTCAAAGAACAAATTTTATTTTTGAACATGAAAAATTTACCGAGGTCCGGACCTCGTTGGCCTCATAGCTGGTTACGGGCCTGGTCATGGGGTAGACAATTATACCGGTAGACACAATAAACTGAAAGAAATTTGTCAACCGGTAGAGATTTTGGACTATCGTCTCTATCGTGGTTACAAGTGGGATTTCCATGCTGTTACAAAAGCTTGTCATTTGAATGAGTTTTTAGCACTGCGGTTAAAAAAAAACAAGTGATTTTAAACCCTTTGAGTACCATAAGCAGCAAAAAATGTGGTATAAATGAGCACTGTCTCTGAAATGCTCCCACATAAAGCAGCTTCTCACACAGTGCGCGAGTACTGAACAGAGTTCTTTTTGGTGACTTGGGATTGAAGGGTCAAAGAATGGAATCCTCGTAAACAGTTGTTTATTTCTTAAGTAAATGTAAGCAGTTGAGAAAGAAAACGGATGTGTATCAGTATATTAGATCCATGTATTTGGTCTTTAAGTGACAGTAGGCTAATAAACATCTGTGTCATTAATCTTAATCAAACAACAAAAGAGAGAAAATCTCTTGCTGCTCTCAACTGAATCACTTTTGTAACTTTAATAGGAATAAATCTATATTTAATAAACAGTGAAGACTATGCAGTGTTTTTTATAAATAACATTCAAGTACTATTTTAATTTAAGTACTATTTTTATTTTTAGTGCTTTACATTTCATTTGTGTCTTTGTTCTATTGCAAATTTTGCCCTATTGCTTGTAATTAGTTTCTTTGTTCTTTTTACTACTGACTGTTTACTTGTCTTCAGTAAACTTGAGTTTTTTTTGTGATATTGAAATTGATCATGAGAATAATTAAACTTTAATGGTATCAAACGTTTTGACCATCCACTTCCTTCCACTATAGAAAAGTGAAGCCAAAGCATCTTAGTATGGCCGCTGCCATCTTGAGTAAATGACGTCATTTGGAGCCCGAGTCTGCGCAGTAGAGATTCGTTTGGAGCCAGAGTCTGCGCAGTAGCATCAAGAGGTGGAGCCACGGTATCAAAGTCCCACCCAAACTCCCACAGACCCAATCACAAGGTCACAATCATGACACAACACCCCATTTTTATAGCATCAAATAACTAATTAAAAGCAAACTTCTTAGAAAAACGAACACGTAAACATAAATCAGCATGATAAGAACTACCTGTGATGAGAGGGGCGGGGCCGAGAGCCGTGGGAACGGAGCGAGGCCGGTGGAGGAAATGCTAATGCACGACACCTGCACCACTCACCGGTCTCGAGTCCCACGGAGGAGCTCCGGAAGGATAAAAGGAGGAGTGACGACAGTGTGCCGAAACCCGGGAGGAAGGAGGGACATGCTGCCAGAGATCCCTCGCCGCTGTGGTGAATCCGCGGTGCCATCGAGCATGGCGGAGCAGTCTGCCGCCATGGAGGCTCAAGGCGGTGGGCTGGAGGGAGTTGCCGGGGGGCGGACGAACTCGCTGCCGGACGCCTGGGCTGTGGAGGGACGGCTGCCGTCCGTGAGGGAGCGGAGGAGTCGCCGCAGAGGACCAGGCCTGGACTTTATTTTGTGTTTTGTGTGCGGCAGTCGTCCGCGAGGGGCTGCCGCTTTACTTTCGTTTTGTGTTTGTTTATTTTATTAAAATTTTAAATGTTCGCCGGTTCCCGCCTCCTTCTTCCCGTGAGTACGAACTTTGTTACACTACCTAATGATGGAAATCATCTTTGGCAAAAATTTATTTGAAGTTTAATTTGATTATTTAGTTTGTCTCACGTCCCATTAGATTACATGGACAGGGCGGGGTTTATGACCTAAACTGCATCCAGTCACCTGGGGGCGATCGAAACGTTCTGGCTTCACTTTCAAGACTCATGCGGCATGCTTGGTTTTGACACACTAAAACCTTAATTAAAGCAAAAATAACTATATTGTGATGGTCTGAACAGGCAAATTCGTGCATGGAAGTCAGACTTCCCATGCAGCATAAGCAATATACATATATTACGCAACATATTTTACATGTGAAAATACCATTTATCACTTGTGCCCCAAATGACTCAAAATAATAAGTCCATACTGGACTCCACTGTTTTGAGTAGGGCTGCACAATTAATCTTAATTAACTCTAAATGAAATCCTGTTTAAATTGTTTGGTTAAGTGCGATTATGAAATCGCAAAAGCTGTTATGTGCAGCTTGTTAGTGAACTACGGCTCTGTGATCAGTAGTAAATGATTCAGTAGTAAATATCTGAGACACTTATAATCCTTGCAAACATGAGAAGCATTTATGTACCTCTTATCCAAAAGACAACATTTAAAGGGTCAGTTCACCCAAAAATTTAAATTCTGTCATAAATTACTCACCCTCGTTTTGTTCGAAACCCGTAAGACCTTCGTTCATCTTCGGAACACAATATTTTTTGATGAAATATGAGGGCTCTCTGACCCTCCCATAGACAGCAAGGTAACTACCACGTTCAAGGTCCAGAAAAGTACCAAGATGATCGACAAAGTAGTCCGTGTGACATCAGTGGTTCAACTGTAAAGTTACGAAGCTACGAGAATACTTTTTTTGCGCAAAGAAAACAAAAATAACGACTTTATTCCACATTTTCGTCTTCGTAACTTTACAGTTGAACCACTGATGTCACACGGACTACTTTGTCGATCATCTTGGTACTTTTCTGGACCTTGAACATGGTAGTTACCTTGCTGTCTATGGGGGGGTCAGAGAGCCCTCAGATTTCATCAAAAATATCTTAAATTGTGTTCCAAAGATGAACGAAGGTCTTACGGGTTTGGAACAACACAAGGGTGAATAATTAATGACAATTTTCATTTTTGGGTGAACTAACCCTTTAATAACATATTTTTACTCTAAACTCAATTCAATCTTACATTTATTCAGCTACAGTAATAGGGATTTTCCTACAACAATGTGCATTAACTTTCTTATGCGGGGCATATTTGGAGTTTCAGCGTGAGAGTGACCTCTGGCCTTCGGATGGAGCAATATTACTACTGATCACAGGACAGTGCTTCATTGACAAGCTGCGCAATAAAAAAAAATTGCAGCCTTTGCCAAATCATGACTCCAGTTTCATTTCGATTAATCGTGCAGCCCTAGTATTGAGCAAGATTGCTTCTTGTTTTCTTCAAAACAGTCGCATCGTAATTATATAATAAACAGTGCTCAGGCAGGCCCGGAATGTTAAAGTGCAATGTGAATGCAGGCCAGCGGGGGAGTGAGCCAAGACTATAGAATACCCAAGAGGTGTCACTCATGAATACATTTTGAATGGGGAAAAATGCAATGCTCATTATGGCCGCTCTATTGAAGGAAGCCCTGCCTTCTGAATAAAAGAGCCAATCACTAATCATTAAAGTCATCGCATCACTGCAGCTGCCGTTAGAAGTTCCGGTTGCTATAGAAACAGAGTTCTAAGCCATGCGCTTAAGACTGCACATGGTCTAGCCTGAAAAATAAGCATTTTTTAACGCTATTTGAGCAAAAGTAACAACATTTATGAGACAGTTGTTGTCAGACTTCATTGGTTAATTCAGATATGAAATTTAATCGTAAGCTTGGTGAACAGTTTTTGGAGAATTTGATGTTCCAATTCAAAGACAGGAGCTGCACTTGCATGCCCGAGAAACGTTTCAAATATGGCTACAGAGTGAAATGACTTGCCTTAAAGGGACATTGTGGGGAGGGGACAATTGTGCTTGGGCACAGTACAAGGCAACCATGCCTATTGTAAGTAACACCCAAAGTTTCAGTAGTCCAAAGAATTAATTAAATGAATTAAATCCAAAGAATAGATGATGCTTCACTACTGATATTGCTTCTGGTTTATTCATCAACTGAGAAATTGAAGATCATTTGGTACTGCATGCATACAACCAATTTGCATACTGCACAAATTATATATATTTGGGTTGCATGGTATAACCGGTACTGTAAAAATACGGGGATATATCATATTTCAAATGATACAATATCATGATTTTACTCAATTTGGTACTTGATAACCTGCTGATCCGAAGTTCACAGCTATGCAGAGGTTACCCAAATTTATGTGAAACTAGTAAATGTGACTTAGTAACAAGATCTGTCTGTTCAGTGCCGCCCACCGATTCATGCATGTAGTTTTTACGAGAGAGGTGAACGTGCAGGTCTATGCAGAAACCAAATGATAAAGCTGGCTCTGAAGACAACAAGATGCTGTGCAGTGCCAAGTTGTGTAAAAAACGTCTCGGGTTACTTGCGCAACCCATGTTCTCGGAGTAGGGAACGAGACGCTGTGTAGCTAAGACGCAATGTGAATGCCCTCTGGGTGTGCAGATTGTCTGAAGTCAGTATAGAATCACGCCAAATCACTGGCTGATGGCGCGGATGCCACCTCAACGCTCTTATGTTGCCATCCTTATACTGGCGAACATGCCATCTGCTCCTCCTGGCGGAATGTGCCCGAAGGCTGAGAGGTAAAGAGAAAGACCACGCACCTCATATGCCAGTGAAATAGTATCCCTAATCCAGTGAGAAATTCTGTGCTTCGAAAGGAAGTGCTTCGGCTCAAAAGGAGCTTCCAATAAGCCCTCCAGGATGACTGACAAGTACCAAGAAGGAACTTCAAGGGGGTGTGCTGGCTTCAGACGCCAAACCCCACGCATAAACACAGAGACCAACCGATGTCTCCCCAGGGGAACTTCATACAACTCTCTCCGAGCGGCGATGGTCGCGACATCAACTTTCAGGGTAGTAGCAGCCGCTCCCGCTGCAAATTTTTCTTGCAGGAACTCCAGCACTGAACTTATAGGGCAGCTGACTGGGTCCACCGCATGGGCTAAGCACCATGACTCAAAGATCTTCCACTTGGAGGAATACGGCTTCCTTGTGGAAAGGTCTCTGGCACTAGCAACAGTCTCCTGAACATCTGCAGGAAGACTAGAAGTCGAAGCTGGTGACCTTTTATGGGCCATACCCACAGCTTCCAGATCTCAGTATTGAGGGTGCCAGATCTTGCCTTGGAGCTGTGATAGCAGATCTTTTCTGATCGGAATCTCCCATGGAGGGCAATCTAGAAGAAAAATCAGCTCCGAGAACTATGTCTGAGATGGTCAGAACGGGGTTACGAGTAGGAGACGGACCCCGCTCTCCTTCACCCTGCACAGTACTGCCAGAATTCAACTTGACAGGTGGAAACGCATACAGTTTCAGGTCCGGCCACGGGTGAGCGAATGCATCTATGCTCAGAGATGCTGGGGAACTCAGGGAAAACCAAAGTGGGCATTTGGACAAATCCTGCGACACAAAGAGGATTCATCTCTGCCCTGCCAAACAAGTCCCAAATCTGGGCTCCTGTTTGGCGGTTCAGCATACATCCCCCCCAATCTTAGCTTCTGTCTAGATAGAAATTCCGCTGCGAGGTTCAAGGCCCCCAGGAAGTGAACTGCTCTCAGGGAAAGGAGTCTGCCTTGAGCCCAAAGGAGAAGACGGCGTGCATGCCTGTCTAGGGTGTGTGACCGTGAACCCCCTTGGTGGTTTATATGAGATATCACCGCCATGTTGTCTGTCCTGACAATCACGTGACACCCCCTGAGTGAGGGGAGAAAGTGTATCAGTGCCAGAAAGACGACTCTCAGCTTCAGGCTGTTTATGTGCCAAGAGAAGAACTCTCCCATCCAAACTCCGCACGCTGGTCTGTCCTCAAAGACCGTGCCCAAGCCCGTCAGAGAGGCATCCATTGTAACCATTTGGCAACAGTGAACAGCGCCCATATACTGAACCCTCTCAAAAGAAAGAGGGGGTCCCGCAATATTGAAAGGGTGCGGAAGCAACTGCGCAATACCTTTAATAGGAGAAAGGCTGGTCCTGTCGAGCGGATCCTTAAAAGTTTCATTCACCAAAGGAACGGCCTCATATGAAGCAGCCCCAGGGCAGCACAGGGAAGGCTGTGGCCATGAGGTTCAAGAGCCTGCGACAAGTGCTCACAGAAAAATTATGGCCTAGCTTGAAGCAGGCCAAGCATGCGTTGAGGCTGGAAATCAGGGCAGAAGCCAGACAGGCCTGCATCTGAAAAGAATCCAAGTGAACCCCCCAAACAACAGTCTGTTGAGAGGAGGTGAGAACATTCTTTTTGGTGTTCATTCTGAGGCCAAGAAACAGAATGTGGCTAAGGAGAACATCCCTCTGGCAACTCACTAATTCCCTAGAGTGGGCTAAAATGAGCCAATCGTTCAGGTAATTGAGTATACGGATGCCTTGGAGCCTCAATGGGGCCAGAGCAGCTTCCATGCACTTTGTGAATGTCCTTGGTGCCAAGGCCAGGCCAAAGGGAAGAACCTTGTACTGCTAAAGCCTTTCACCCAAAGGCGAACCTGAGGAACTTCATGTGTACCTGAATGTACTGAATATGAAAATAGGCATCCTTCAGGTTGATGGTGATAAACCAGTCTCCCGCACGAATCTGTGACATAATAGTCTTCAGCGTCAACGTCTTACTTCCCTTTGTAAAGAAAGAAACTCAGCTGGTGAAGGTCAAGGATAGGGCGTAGGCCACCGTCTTTCTTTGAAACGAGCAAATAGCGACTGAAAAACTTCCGCTGATTCTACTTCAGCTGAAGGAACCTTCTCTATCGCCCTCTTGAGGAGGAGGGAAAACAGTTCCTGCTGTAGCACAGAAGCCTCTGAGCCGCTGCTCACTACAGTCAGGTGAACTCCGTCGAAGCGAGGGGTGGTGGTGGTTGTTTGCGACAGAACTGAAGTGTGTAATCAAACTGAACTGTGCAGAGATCCCAAGCTGATAACCCTGGTAGACACTTCCATTCGTGAAAGAATTGCGATAGAGGAAACAGAATGTTGCAGTCTA